CATAACAAAAATAAACACCGGTATTCGGTATGAACCGGTATACCGCCCAGCACTAACTGGACTAATATACATATACAGCTGCATCTCAAAAAAATTTGAATATCATGAAAAAGTTCTTTTTTTTGGTAACATTTCAAAAAGTGAAACTTTCATATATTCTAGATTCATTACATATAAAGTAAAACATTATTTATATATAATATAAATTATATAAATATAAATATATGCATGTAAATGCATTTAAATATTTTCAAAATATATACGTGCAAGTGTGTGTATTTATATATACATAATAAATATACACAGTACGTACACACACATTATGTAAACAAAAACTTTTATTTTGGATGCGATTAATCGCGATTAATTGTTTGACAGCACTAATATATATATAATATATATATATAAGATTCAGTATTTATTTATAATTAAAATAATATAAGAAATATACATATAAACACATTTCTCACTAGAACAAACATGGGATATGTGCCTCTATTGCTTTTGTAATGGGACGACCAAGTATATCTGTGGAAAGTGCCGCTGACACTTTAGAACAACAACAGAGAGGAAATGAAAGAGAAAGCATTTCTCACCCCAATGAATGGGACAAACTTCTGGCAGGAGTCTTCGTCAGGGCTGTGGAGGTCAAACAGGAGGGAATGGTTAGCACAGGGCTGACAGGACGTGTAATGTTAAGCTGTCAGTGAGGGCGGATGGTCTGAGAGATGCGTGTGAAGTCGTCGGGGTGTGGGGGGTGAGAATGGGGGTGTCAGATCAGATAGTGTGACACAGAGTGGTGTCCTCTAGTTGACAGAGTGCTGTGAGGCCACAGAGAGTGTGAGGGCTCATGCCATGAGAGGACGCTGGGATAGCTTCTTACATCCTCCACCAATCAGGGGGGTGTAAGGCTGCAGGCTATGGGGGCGCTTCATTATTGAACTCATTGTTATATAATCTTCCGTGACTCTTCCCAAGAGTCGTCTACAACTTACAGAAGCTGTCCAACACTCAAGAAACCAGAACACAAGGAACTTCCAAGATTCTGAACTTAGTTGATTGTAATTGACAAAAACAGAGCCGGCACCGAGTCGTCTCCTGTAGCCAGACTTGACTATAAGCATAGAGTCTGATCCACATTGCAGCTTTTTTAGGTCAAGAATCACCTACTTAGATGGGATGTCTGACCAACATGTACCATGACCAATCACAACTGAGAAAGCTCTCTGCTTCCAGACATCTACTTGAGTTGTCTTAAATAAAACTTAAAAAAATTTAAACCTTGAACCCACAAACTCCACCAACTGGGTTAATGTCTTTTAATGGTGTGAGCACACCAAAAGTAAAATAAATTATTCATGCAAGTAGATTACATTGGGCCCCGCACATGGCATACAGGGAAAAAATAGTAGGCTAAATCGTGTGCACGATTTACTATTTCGTTCCCTCGATTTATATATTGTGCGCATGATTTACGAATTCGTTCCCTCGATTTATATATTATGCGCACGATTTACGAATTCGTTCCCTCGATTTATATATTAGGCGCACGATTTACGAATTCGTTCCCTCTATTTATATATTGTGCGCACGATTTACGAATTCGTTCCCTCGATTTATATATTATGCGCACGATTTACGAATTCGTTCCCTCAATTTGCTAAATCGTGCACGTGATTTATAAATCGAGAGAGCGAATTAGTAAATTGTGCACACGATTTAGCATATCAAGGACACAAAATAGTAATCGTGTGCACGTTTTAGTACATCGAGGGAACGAATTAGTAAATCGTGCGCACGATTTATTTATTTTTTCTTGCATGTTATGTGCGGGGCTCCGTAGATTACATATAAAGTCATTTGACTTTCTTTGTAATCTACTCGCACAAATAATTAATTATGCGAATTCATGACGGCGACGTGAATAACGCGAACTGAATTGCCGTGAACGTGCAACGTACGCCTCAATCGCGTCACTCAATTCACATGATGCATTGTCACGCAAGTCAATCTGCGAAGAGCTTACTGACATGTCCGGTTGTATCAGAAAATGGAGGAGAGCATTACGAGATGTTTTAATTTGCACAAGTGACACGAAAAACATCCCGCGAGTAATCTAGAGCGATAACGCAATGCAAATATCCACTTTGCTTTAGGTATGCACACACCATAAGAGTTTCCTCTTTTAAAATACATGTGCCAGGTTCTCTGCCATTTT